TAGCTCCCGACGAGTGGCTAATTAATGGAATCGAAGACAGTTGCAAAGTATACATACACGCGGACTGCCAAATCTCCAGGGTGCTGATACCTGTCAATGTCAAATATCTCTTTTGTCGCATCACTAGTATATCTCAAAGGACGCGACAGGGCTACTGTAGATTTTAAACGTTTCTCACCATAGCTGTAAAAATCTAAATATGTTAAACTTAAAAGTCATTTGTTTTCTAACTAATTCGTTTTGGACCAAGTGTCCTCAGAAATTTCCAAAATTTACAACTTTTAGTCACTTTCATTGAACTATAAAAGTTTCTGTCTTCATTACATTAATAATATAAAGAAATTAGTCTCCACCGTACTCGGCTAGAGATGGTTCAATTAAGCTTTTGTTTAAGTAAAATTTCGACTCTTTCGTCAGGGTTTTGTTTATGTCCCCAATTCCCTAATCACTTCTTAACTTAAGTAGTAGTTAAATAATTATTTAACTACTTCTTAAGTAGAAATAAGTCAAAACCAGTTACTTTGTACTTGAATATTTGTAGTCTCGGGAAAAAAGTGGAAAGACAAATTTTTATGACAACGGATACATAAATCGTAAATTTAAGGAAAATAAATTCTAGAGCTTTTTCTGTACCTCATGCAACTCTCTCATTCATTAAATTTAGTTGTAAATGACGCTGTCAAAGTAACAGTTAATTTTTTAACATTATATAAGAATTGTACACATTTTTTTCTACATCCTCTTGAAGATTGGACATATGAAATTGTAATATCACCGGTATAACATTGAAATCCGTGAGTAATATAAAATCGGAGAGCGGAATAAAAATATCAAATATTTAATGGATTTTTTTTAAACTCCTGTCACTATACAGAACTATCATAAAAATATACCAGTAAATTCTTATCGGTTGGGTTAAGTTATAAATTTACTCGTAATTCACGTAATGGGGTGAGGGCGGCCAAATATCTAGCAGGCGGCGGCTAACAGCCCAGAATCGGTCCTGGATAGAAGTGGAAGCGGTATAAATGTAGCATCCACCCAAGGTCCTAGGCTTCCGCCAGCTAAACCAGGTGAGGTTGGTGCTCTGTAGAGCGCATCTGGCTTTTTTGGACGCTGACGATACAGCGCTTCCACTCCGCCACTGATATTCGAATATACAATAGCAATCTTTTTTTTTTTCACGTGTATTATAGAAATTTGTAATAAGATACATAATGCGGTTATAATAAAATATTGTGCAATTATTTTCATATAATTAAAATTAATATGTATTTACTTTTTTAGAAAATACAAGGAAAGTGGTGCATCCACCGCATCCAATGACAGCACGCCCCTGCTGGCTAGCTTTACTGGGAAAGCACAACATTTACTATCATCAAGGAACAACTCAAACCCTGACAGCTATAGTGATTGTCAATAAAAACATTGATGTCCAGTACTGTACCTGCCTAACTACAGCAGTCAATATCCATTGCACCATCCAAATCCAGACCAGGGACTTCTACTGTTATGTGATGTCTGTCTACCTTCCTCCCTCTGAAGACACAGAGCCTCCTTTTAAATGTATAACAGAAAGCATCAGGCAAATATCACATGGCAATATTTTCATAGCAGGGGATTTTAATGCAAAATCCCCAATTTGGTTTGCTCCAAATGAAGACCCTAGGGGGACAGGTTATCAGGGACTTTATGGAGGAGATACAATTATATTCTCTTAACACAAGCAGACTCCCCACATTCTTTGCTCCTACTGGATTGATATCTGTCTGGCCAACAGCTCTCTCCTTGGTGACATCTACTCTTGCTTTACTGACAACAAAATTACCATCACTATATAAGGACCCTTCTGCCAGGCAATGTCATTAGGAAACAACACACAAACTGGGATCTTTTTGAGTTACTAGTCCAAGATTATGGAAGCCAGCCCCTTTTATCAACCTACAAACAAAAAAGAGCTTAAACGCTATAATAGAGGAACTTTCAGTGATATTACATCAGGCATACAACAGGGCAACTACCTCAAAGCACCAAATCAACAAAGTCCCATGGTGGATCCTGGACCTCCAGGATATGCAGAAAAAAGTCAGAAAAATGAAAAGGAATTTCTGCAAAATGATAGATCCCGCTTGAAGAGAGGTGCTTTGTCAGGATCAGAACTGTACTTTAGAATATATAAAGTCTTTGGAAAATAAAATATGGATTACAGAAAACTATTTTTACCAATAAATGAAACAATCAATTTTTTACGCAATTATTTACATATTTTCTTTTATTATGTAACAGCTAACTAGAGCTTAAGAAATGACTAAATCAAGTGATTTTACATTTGTTTACATTCTGTCTCCAATGACATAGCAGGAATGTGTTGCTATGTTAGGCTGATTTCACACTATGACCGACTGAACATACTCCAAGTCATGCTGACACGACAACAGAACAGCAGTCGGTCAGCCAACTAGTAGTACCAGTCAGACAGATTTAAAAAGTTAAATAAGTTAAATATTTGTAGTCGGGTGGGAACAGTCAATGAGCTATCACCGAGAGCTTCAAAACTACAACCAGACTTTGGATATATGAAAACTATCAAATTAATCAAATATAACTTTACATTATAAATATTTCTAATTTTTTAAAGTTTTCCCTTGTACTCTGTTTCTTCCAGAATTGCTTTACATTTTATATAGAAACACATAAAACAAAAAAAACATTATCAACATAAATGAGAAAAGATGGCAAAATTTAGACTTTTCAGAAGACTTTATAAACAAAGTAAGGTCATATCCACGAATTTTAACTGGGCAGATTACAAAAATATTTTTAAAAATTATAAAAACTTAAAATGATTGGCTGGTGTTTTTATTTCTAACATCTGTTCCAATTGGTCGTAATGAATCGGCCACCAACGTATTCAATGTGAATGGTTTTGCTATCAGTCAGTCCAATTATATGAGCCGTTAATTTTGAAAGTGGGGCAAGTCCATTTTTTTAAAAAATGGAGATAATGGTAGTTATAGATAAAACTTGTTATGATCTTTTTATGGGTAAACAATTTATAGTAAAAAAAAATTCAGATTCTAGTATTTGGGAGATGGAAGTTTAAACTCTTAACAGTATTGAAAATAAGTTTATTTTGAAAGTGGTGCAAGTCCATCTTAGATTGAAATTATTTTTGACCGAATATATTACGGCAAAATTTAGCTCCGGTTGCTGTATGGCGAAGCAATGTGGCCGTTTGACATCATTTCTGAAATCTAGGGTGTTTCTATCTATCTATCTTTGATATTGAAAGTCGGTGGTTGTACAATATTTCATTAAGAACAAAAAGTATATCTTAATTTTGTGTTTCGATAATAATATGTTTACTTCCAACACCGAGAAGTATAACTGGAATATGTATGTATTGAATCAAGACTTCCACAATTTTCATAATGATGAAGTTAGCATGTATGTTTGGGAGGAAACTATAGCATCCCGAGGAGCACAAGAAGTAGCATCTTGCTGTTTGAAGTACTTACAGACTGTGACAACCCAAAAACACATTATAGCTAGCTTATAGTGACTTGTGCACTGGCCAAAATAGAAACATAAAGTTGGCCTTAATGTGGATGAAAATTGTTCAGTCCAGTGACAATGAAATAAATATCATCGATTACAAATTTTTATTTTCAGGACATTCATTTTTACCAAACGATCGTGATTTTGGAGTGATAGAAATAACAATCCAGAAAACCAGTTCTTTGTATATTCCCCAGGATTACTGTAAACTAATATGAAATTGTCGAAAACATAATAAATTTTTAGTACATGAAATGAAACGCGAAAATTTTTTTTCAATCCAACCTCTGGGGAAAGCAGATTTAAAAAGAAACAAAAATACCGATGAAGAAACCGTGAATTGGTTAAATATATGCTGGATCAGATTTACAAGGAATGCACCATACGAAATGTTCTACAAAACTTGGATAGAATGAGATGCTGAATTTAAAATTATTGATTTGTCACCACAACGAGGAAGACTAAGTAATTTTGGAAATATAAAGTTATCTTTTCTGTATGAAAACAGGAGATCTATTACATCTGAAAAATGCAAGGACATGATGGATTTATTAGCATATATACCTTCCGTTCATCATGAATATTTTAAAATGTTAAATCCTGAATAAAATTCATTTAATTATACCTACGAATAAACTGAAAATGTATAATTTCATTGAAATTCTTAATAAAACTGAATTTTTTTTTGTTATGTTATATTTTCTACTAGAATATTCTTTGTTTTGTTTCACTTTTTATCAAATGAATAAATATTTATAAAAATTTGAATAGTATTTTGTTTTTATTATTAAAAAAAGGCTGATGCAACTGAAAAAATTTCCAATTAAATGAACGATTACAATAATTCATTAATTTTGAAAGTGAGGCAAGTCCATTTAGTTATAATGAAACTCTTACTTTTTTTAGTCAGCACTGTAAATACTATTGGATTATAAACTTACATTATCTGGTACCACAAAATATTAAAAATATATCTATTAATACTTACCAATATTTTTAAATTTATTGAAATGCAAACCTTTAAATATCTCGCAATAACAAAAATTGGACTTGCCCCACTTTCAAAATAAACGGCTCATATGATCAGTCGAGTCAGTCCAGTTGGTTCCATTGGTCATAGTGTGAAATTGGCCTTAGTCACATTCTTTTTTTGTGTCAATTTTTTTAATTATCTATTTTTTAATTTTCCAATAGATGGTGATACATGTAAATCCAATGTAAACTGAAATTAACTAAAATATATAGACATCCAATCAATATTTTGGGTGGGATGTAGTTAGAAGCATATGAACGTAACTACCAAGTTTTGTAGCAATTGGTTGAATGGCCTAGGAGTATATAGCAAACAAACATTCTCATTTATAGATATACATTTTAATGACATTAATTAAAATTAATTACATGTTCATATTCTATGATAAGAATTCATTATTTTAAATTACCTTTTTTGAATATCTTGAATAATCACATCAACTGGATTCAAAGGCCATTTAGATACTTGACTATTAAAGCCATCATGATAAAGTTGGAAGGCATCAGGATCTGATTTGAAAAATTCCAATGCTTCTTTACTATTTGAAGTGTATAACTTTTCATTAATATAACGAAATTTAGCAGCTTTTAATCTTTCCATGGCATTTTCTTTCAATGCACTGGAAAATAAGTTTCGTTTTTCTTTTTCTAGAATAAAAGTTCCACTTTTAGTTACATTTTTTTTCATTTCATTAAGTTCTGACTTTGATGTAATATTGGGTTTTGAAGCAGATGTCAGTATCTTTTTTAATTTTTCAATATTTGGTAGACTTTTAATTGGACTTGTTTGTTTTAATCTTTTTACATTTATATCAAAATTTGTTTCTTCTTCATTTTTCTCCAAATTATCTGTTACTGATAAATACTTTTTAGAAAATTTCTTCTTCACTTTATTTTTTAATATTTTCTTTTTATTGATAGGCAAAACATTATTATTTTTATTTGATTTTGTTTTTTTATTTTTATCATTTGTTTTATGGTCTAAATCATATTTGTAATGGAAAGATTCATTTTGTAAAGGAATTACTAGTTTACATTCCTCTGTTTTATTAATTTGATTATTTTTTGATTTAAATTTCTTGTTCTTTATCTTTGGTTTAGGATAATGATCTAAAATTTTAATTGTTCCTTTATTTTCTTTTGGAAATGATGAGTTTTTTCTTTCCTTTGGTAATTTTTTCTGTAAAAATTAAATGAATAGATTAGAAAAATGATTACAAATTACTAATATTTAAAATTATTATTGACACGATCATTAATTATACTTTAAAGGTTAGGTTAGGTTATGGTTGTTTTATTGTGCAAGGTCTCATGGGCCTTTCTGTGCCAGTCAAATGGCAAAACATCTAAAACACAAAAAAAAAAAAAAAAAAAAAAAAAAAAAAAAAAAAAAAAAAAAAAAAAAAAAAAAAAAAAAAAAAAAAAAAAAAAAAAAAAAAAAAAAAAAAAAAAAAAAAAAAAAAAAAAAAAAAAAAAAAAAAAAAAAAAAAAAAAAAAAAAAAAAAAAAAAAAAAAAAAAAAAAAAAAAAAAAAAAAAAAAAAAAAAAAAAAAAAAAAAAAAAAAAAAAAAAAAAAAAAAAAAAAAAAAAAAAAAAAAAAAAAAAAAAAAAAAAAAAAAAAAAAAAAANTAGTCTCCGAAATTTTTGTGATTTTATTTGTAATATACAGTAATTTTCTTTGATGAAAATGTAGGAAAACGTAGTATCTATCATTACAGCAACAAACATGTAAACTTTGTTTAATAAAATAGCACTGTACATACCTTCGTTTGTTGTAGTTGGTGGCAGAAAAGTGGAGATATATGAATCTTAATGCTTAGAAGGAAAATCCCCTCCAAAAAAATAACGAGTGGCACTTCATCGGAAGATTCTTTGAGTCAAAGTCTCTTTTGGTAAAAAACCCACCAGTGGCTAAGTGGTCTTCGTACCTTGAACACGGGGAGTTCGTTTGTGGGTTCGCACCTCACTTAGACGGGCTGGCCACGTGGAGTTTTCTGGGTTTTCTCCACATCTGTAATGCCTAAATAGGAGCCAGTTTCCCTTAAAAACACCTCCCAGAAGGCATTCCCCCTAGGCTGATCGCCCAAGTGTTGCATTGTGATAACTTAACAAACAAACCCTTTCCATAAGGAACAAGAAATTGATCTAAAGTTGATTGTCTTACTCTTTAAATCAAAATTTTTCTCAAATGCGATAGTGCATTGTCGTTCATATTGCGTTGTCGTTTCCTATTGTCACTATGACTTTTTTCTTTCTTGGGTGCCATACTGATTAAATATATAAATCACAAAACTGAAAAAAGAAGTATAGCACAAACATTTGGAAAAGCAATGCTTAACTCGTGCATGCCTAACACCAACTAAAATTTGACACAAAATACTGTTATGTTCGTTATCCAAGACAAAATTTTAGCAAAATAAAAGTTCGTTAACCAGGACGTTCGTTAACCGGGGTTCCACTGTACTAGGTTGAAAAATATGAATAAATTCCTTTTATTTTGCCTCTCTGCCTAAGTATTTTTAATACTAATCTGTCTGTAGTTTGCCTTTAACAATTATGGTAACCCTACTTATTACTAATATAAAAGCCGTTGTGTGTGTGTGTGTGTGAATTCCTTATAACTCCTGCAATTTTTGTCCAATCCAGATGAAATTTTGATTATATTAGTTTCATGTCCTAGCAGAAAGTATGGGCTATTTATTTTGCAGAAATATTAGCTATAGAATAAACGTTTTATCAATTTCTGATTGCAAAATGCAATTATAGCTGGAGACCTTTTGCTTCAGTTCTGATGGCAGAGTACAGAACAGCCAATATCTGGAAAAGACATTAATGTTGTTACAAAGTAACTTGGGAAAAACTAAATGTTAGTAAATTTTTAATTTTGTTTTAAATAATATATAATACAGTAGAACCTCGATTATCCGGACTAATTGGGTATGAAGGTAGTCCGGATAAGGAAAAATCCGGATAATCAAAACAAATACTTTAATTTGTCTTTTAATGATAATACAACACGTTTTCTTTTCGATGAGATATCAGTAATATTAAAAATAAATACTGTATTTAAATTGTGATCAAATTTTCAAGAAACAAATGTTTGTATTGAATTTGGTCTACTACTGACCAGTGCTAACAGACTACCTATTGTTTAAAAGGCCCTCTGGTGGCTCAAGAAGACGGATTTTATAAAATAAAAAGCAGTTTCAACTGCTTTTTATGAATAAAAATTTGACAAACTATTTATCGTTTAATGATGAGAAAAATTTTTTTGTCGCGTTCTCGGCTTTTAAGTAATGCATAAACCTTCAAGGCGCGAGGCATAGGCGGTGGCCCACGTTGCCCATGCCTTACACCGCCCTTGGTCATGAAAATGATGTAATTTGAATATAAATTATTTATAAATACGTATGTCAACTTATATTTTTATTACGACGCAAAATATATTTAAGAGTTTACGGCCACTGTGCCGGGTGAGACGTTGTTGAAACAAAAAAAAGTTATGCATTCCATCACGTACATAAACAGTATCATAATTCGCCAAGTGCAAATCAGCAAATTCGTAAAATTTTTGTTTATTTTGAACAATCCGGATAATCGAAAATCCAGATAATAGAGGTCCGGATAATCGAGGTTCTACTATGATTATATTTTTGTATCAACTATTTCTGTTACTGCACATGTGTGTGTAGGGAATTGTGGGAGTGACGTCATGCTCAACATGTTCCCCACCAGTCAGGGAAAATTTCTCTGCATCATTGTCCCTACACTCGTGTCATGTTCGCAGGCTAATGACACCATTTTGGCATTTTTAATGTCACTTTTTCTTGTAGATGGAATGTATTATGGTGAATTAAAGTAATTTGTTTTGTTAATATCGATGAGTGCCTGCGTGTTTCTTAATAAAGTTGTTTTTAAACGAAGCAAATAGCCAGAAATAAAAAATCGTTCGTAACTTTTAAATGGTTGATCGTAAGTAATTTTGTTTTAATACCAATTGATTCAGCGTGTCAAATTACATCTAGATATATCTGTCTACTTGTTAATATTAAGTTTAAGATGTTTTTTAGCTGGATACCTTTTGCTTCAGTCTAACCTAATTTTTTACTTGGCACAATTTCTTTTACATCTCAGAAGTTTTTGTTTGGAGACTATAAAAAACATCAAAAACAGTTACTACCATTGAAGGCTACCAATAACGCAATCAGCCTGAAAATAGCATTCTTCAAGACTAAAAATTTTGACAAATAGATGAAGAAAAAACGATAAATCAAGGAACGAGTGATACAGGTTTAATTTCCATAACATGTAATCTATAACATCGATTTCATTTACGACAATTAATTTTGACTACGAAATTCTTGAAAACTTCTTATTCGAAAATAGTTTAAAATCTTAATAAAAATTTTTATTTTTGCAATTTAGTTTATAAATATTTTGCAAATTTAATTCACATATTGATCTTCAAAAATATGGATAGATATTAACTAATAAGACATACCGGTACATTACATTCGAAAGTCGATTTTTCACTTTTCAGAGACCTGCAACGTTTATGAGACTTTTTCTTTATTTCAATTTGTTCTTCATTAAACAATTTTTTGTTCAAAATTTCAGTTTTTCTATCAGCTTCCCAATCATTATCGTCCAAAGAAAAATCCATGTTGCGCGGTTTATCACGTGTAGTTTGTTTTGAAAGATAAGTGTTGCCAGACCAAATAAGATATATTTAGTAATTGAAAGAAAAATAATCAAATTTTTAATTTTATAACTTTTAAAAAATTTACTATAATAAATTAAATTATTAATGCACTTCTTTATTCAGATATTTTTAAAATATTAAAATAAAATAGTTTTTTTTAACTTTTTTTCACAACCGAATAAAAAGAAAGTTTTATTTACAAAACAAGAGAATTTTTTTTAAAACTCTTTCCGTTTTCCGCCCTGTGGGCACTAATAAGAGGCCTTTTAGAGAAGGCCTCTTATGGGTTCGGCCAGGCCCAAAATGGGGCGGCCGGATGGGACTCGACATATCCAGACGGATAAACTCCTGGGGATTTTTCGATCCGTCCAGATTCGAACTCGGGTCTCCCAGACCGCTAGGCTGCCATCTTGACCGCCTAGCAATCCGGCCGTTCAATACAAAAGAATAAGGTTCGTTGATGTTTTCTTGGAAAAAACCCCGCGTTTCTTTATGCGGCGCTTGAGAAGCGCTTTACTGCGAACACACTAAAACTGGTTTCTAATTGGCCAATACTGCTCGTGACGTCATTTCGCTACACTCTCACTGCATAAAGAAACGCGGAGAAAGCCATATGGGTTAAGCTGCGCCACGTCAAATGGTAAAACGGTAAAAATAAATAAATATAGATTATATATAAAATTGAATATACATAATATAAAATATTAATAAAATAACAATAACAATCATATAAAACTCTACAAATAAACAAAGAATAACAACATGGCATTTAAAAATAAACTAAAATAAATACAGTAGAACGTCGTTTATCCGAAAGTCGGTTATCCGGAACGTCGGTTATCAGAAAGCATTCCAGTCGGCAAATTTAAATTTTGGCTAGTGCTGTGGCGCTGCAATCTTTATCTTGGGCAATTCCAATATATTTTTTTTTTTTGTTTGTGTGTCTTTTAGCTGGCAGACTGGCACTTTTGTGTGGTGTTTTTCTGATCAAGGCCACTTGATCGCTTACTAGCGAAGCGATCAAGTGGCATTGTTCTGAGGACTGTGTGTGGTGCTGAATCGAACGTTTTTGATACTAGATCAACTTCTAAAGTATAATTTTTTGGTTTTTATATTTTTCAATATATTTATTTTGTTTGTACAAAATAAAAAAAATAATTTTTAACGATACAATAGCCACGATTATTATTTTAAAAAGTTTTCGTTAGGCTTAACATCGACGAAAATTCAACGCGAAGCGACACGCAACGGAGAAAGATTTCAACATGGGATAGGTTAATATATTTTTCATACATAATCGGTTATCCGAAAAATAAGTTATCCGAACAACCCCAGTCCCCAATTGATTCGGATAAACGACGCTCTACTGTAATCAAATCTGTTTATACATGTTAGTGACTTTCAGAAAGTCCGGTAGCCTATCGAGATTTGGTCTCGGGCCCAAAATTTGCAACAAACTTGCATTTCTAAAATGCTGCCTACGACTCCTCTCAAGTGCTGAGCAATTACAGTTTATTCAATGCCTGTTGAACGCGGCGACTTGGAGCCAGTGGTTAAAAAACGACTAGCAGAGATATGACAGAATATGTGGAATGAACAAATTCACAACAAACTATACACAATCAAGCCTCTGATAGCAAATTGAACACCTAATGAAGTTTACGACAGGAGACCTGAGGTAATTCTTACTCGTTTGAGAATCAGACATACCGGCTCACCAGTGACCAACCGGTCTTCGTTCCCTGAACACTGGGAGTTCAGTCGTGGGTTCGCGCCTCGCTCGGATGGGCATTCTCCAGTTTTCCAGGATTGCTTCACGTCTATAACGCCCAAATAGGGGTCAGTTTCCTTAAAAAGACTTCCCGGAAGGCATCCCCTAGGCAGATCGCCCAAGTGTTGCGTTGCCATAACTCAAACAAAACCGAAAAATCAGTCATACTCGGTTGACTTATCAATACCTTTTGAAGGGTAAAGACCAACCCATATGCTAGTACTTTAAGTGTTGAAACACATACTATACAATTGCTCTGTAATTGAGAGAAGTCGTAACCAGCATTTTAGAAATGCAAGTTTGTTGAAAATTTTGGGCCCGAGACCAAATCTCGATAGGCTTCTGGACTTTCTGAAAGTCACTAACATGTATAAACAGATTTGATTATTTATTTTAGTTTGTTTTTAAATACCGTGTTGTTATTTTTTGTTCATTTGTACAGTTTTATATGATTGTTATTGTTATTTTGTTAATATTTTATATTATGTATATTCAATTTTATATATAATCTATATTTATTTATTTTTACGGTTTTACCATTTGGCGTGGCGCAGCTTAACCCATATGACTTTTTTCCAAGAAACATCAACGAACCTTATTCTTTTGTTTTGAACGGCCAAATCGCCAGGAAGACAAGGTGGCAGCCTAGCGCTCTGGGAGATCTGGGTTCGAACCCGGACGGGCCGAAAAATCCCTAAGAGTTTATCCGTCTGGATATGTCGAGTCCCATCCGGCCGCCCCATTGTGGGTCTGGCCGAACCCATAAGAGGCCTTCTCTAAGAAGGCCTCTTATTAGTACCCACAGGACGGAAGGCGAAAAGAGTTTTAAAAAATTATCTTTTATTGTAAATGCAACGCAGCTAGTCGGCAACGAGATTATCCAATCATCTTGGCTACTCCATCGCCTTTTGATATATAACGGGATGCAGTATGTACAGTACAGTTGCACATATTATCGTAATAAGAATTTCTGTAAAATATGAGATTGAATAGAAAAAAATTTTAAAAAATCATCCGTCGAGGCGGATTTGAACCACCGACCTATGGATTTCAGTAAGATAAACCTCTACAGTCCACCGCTCTACCAGCTGAGCTATCGACGGAACAGAAACGAGTTCTTAGAAAATTATATATTATATATACATTTTTAATGAGGTCATTCCTTCGCTTGTATAAAGCTTCTGTGTATTTTTCGGGGAGAGTGATCGACCGGATACGTCGACTCCCTCACCGTCCCTCACCACCCGGCCACTCCTATTGTGGACCTGGCCGAACCCATAATGGGCTTGCTAAAAGAGGCTCTCTTCTTTTTTTTAAATTCTTTCCGCGGGGCGGAAAGTTTTAAAAAAAAGTATGTTAGAAAGGTTATAGATTTCTTAATGGAATGAAATTTGCATTTTTACTGCAATACATAAAGCAAAGCTTTTATCGTACCTTAAAATTTATACTTTGTGTATCTGTGATGTTTTAGTCAAATTTGCATTCTACCGTTCATGACACTAAAAAAGTACAGTTACAATCTTCAGTGTTAATTACGACCCATATATTATTTGATATCAATGCAGAAACATTAAATAATAGAATGAATGACCTCATTAAAGATTTATATATTATTTTCTAAAAGCTTGTTTCCGTTCCGTCGATAGCTCAGCTGGTAGAGCGGTGGACTGTAGAGGTAGTGCTTACTGAAATCCATAGGTCGGTGGTTCAAATCCGCCTCGACGGAGGATATTAATTTTTATTTTTCGCCTTTTTTAAAGTCCGATATTTTACAAAAATTTTCTGCATTATTTACTGTGGTGTATAAATAAGACATACTTAGCGTACATATGTTTCTTGAAATGTGACGTGGACGATGGATCAACTTTATTTATAGATAAAAATTCTTTTATAATTATAGCANAGGGGAGTGAAGTAATGTTTCTTCAGAAAGGCATACAGAAATAATTAAAACTGTAAGAATTTTTTTAAATTTATATTTTCATATTTTGCAAGGAGGTATGTGTATTAAGAGAAAACGTTTTTAGAAATGTTCAGGAAAATTGGACCATTGGTTCCGGAAATACGGTCCATTATCCCCTTAAATTAATATCTCCCGAACTAACCTGAAAGCTTGTAAAGGTAATGGTAAAATTATTAGGGATGAAAAATAATAATGCGGAAAAGTCCAACAACAACACTGTCAGCTTTTTTATTATTTCGTAAATTCATTCACAATTGTTTTTGTTTTTACGAAAAAACGATAACATTCACTTCCCTTGCTTTCCGCTAGAGGCAAAACCATCAACTTCAATTACAGGTATCCACCGTATAACGCAGTAGATACAATTCCGAAAAAGTGCCGTGTTATGCGAATCCGTGATATACGAAACACAGGACTAATGCAAAATGTGGGATTAGATTCCAGAAGTTAGCAAAAGCATACTATTCTTTTTCGTTACACTAAGAGAAATATGTTTATTAAATCAATCGATACTTTATTTTCAATCAATAATTAACTAACAAGCACAATTAAAAGTACTGTTAATATTAACTAGTTAATCGAGGACTTTTCTTTTACAAAGTATCATCATCTTACAAGATTTTTAGTTGATCTTGATCGGAAATATCAGCAATGTCTTCATTTTTTTATCATAAAAGTTTTTTATGGATGACAAAATAAAAATAAAAATGTTATTAATCGAAAATGTGTTCTAGAGGATCGATAATTTCTATGGTTTCTTTAAACTTCCTGTTGTACGTTAATTTTCCTTTATGCAGTATTTCTACGTTATCTTTATCTATATTACAGTTGTTTATAGTACAATGTTCGTAAAATGCAGAATTTATTCTATTGTATTTTAGGTCTGCTATGTGTTCTTTCAGTCTAGTACTGATTCTGTATCTCTGAACTTTCCGAGAATAAAGAAACAACCAAATGGAGTCGACTGCGGTATATACAGAATCGTTTTTGCTGTCTCCTTAGCATTTGGTATCATGGTATGAAATTCGGTACAATTCGGTACGATCATAGATAAATGCGTTCTCATTTGTTAAAATATTTAATTCGTCTAAATTAGTTATGTACTTTACAGTGGTGATATTCAGCGGGTTCGCACAGGTTCGGCCGAACCCGTTGTTAACATTTTCAAAGTTTTCCGAACCCGTTGTTAAACGCACGTAACTCAGTGATTTTGTTTTTTTTTTTAATATATTAAAATATACGTATTATACTCTGT